TAACAGTTATATCTTCCAGAAACAGCAACTTAGGATCAAGACGCTGTGACCAAGTGCTCCACATTGCCACACTACAAACTGTCTGTATGCTGCCTGACTGAACTGTTTGTTGCTCTGTCCTGGGTCTGGAAGGTCAGCCATGTGTGGTGCATGGAAACACTGTAGTCTGGATGTTGTCCACAGTCCTCAGATTCTGGCCTGTAAAGGAATATATAGTTGTTAGAACCCCAAATTGGAAAGATCAGTGTAATAGGACAGAACATTCATCAAAATGATCAGATATTTTTATTGAACAGGGGTTTGTTGTTCTCTAACAGGACTTCTGTGTCCACATTACACACCAGGTCAATGTACATGACACAGATGAGCAGATGGCTGAAGCAGAGCTGTAGTTAGTTGTAATCAGTAAACGATAATAAAAAAAAGTAATAACAATAGTGATGGATTACATTTATAAAGCACTTTATTTTTGACAGTCAAAGGGCTTAGGGGGATAAACCAGAGAAACTTTGAGACAAGTACACTGGGAGATAACAGACTAATATTAAAATATATATGTATAGATATACCTGTTCATATGCTGTTGTTGGAGCATGAAGCTTGACACAGGTCCTAGAAGATGTGCTCCTTGGCTTGCACCTCGTCCTCCCCGTCCTGCCTCTTCTTCCTCGGACCCCGGCAGCCCTCCCTCCTCTGCTTCGCTTCGACCCCGGGAAAGTTAGTTTTAAGTTGGTTAAGTTCAGAGGTGAACTAACCGCACTTATACAACAGTCACTGGGTGAGCTGACTAAAAAGCCGTCACTGGATCCTGGGTGAATGTCTGTCTTAACTTAACACGAAGTTCACCGCGGTGACCCCGGGCCTGTCCCGGTTTGTGCTTGGCTCTGGGGTGCAGTCCTCATCAGAGACTATAATGCTGTCACCACGGAAGCTCCAACATGCAAAACAACGTACATGTTATGAATCTACCGCAAAATACACGTTCGTGTAGTGTAACTGATGGAAACGGGAAAATGTGCATCTGTTAGCGCAGCAACCTGTTGCTAACAGTTAGCTAGCCAGCTCGTTACTGATTAAAATTAAACCTATCCAATAATAACATGCTAGCGTGATAGTGAATACTAACAGCCGGGTTAGTTGTTTTCATAATGATAAAGTTGGTTATTTTCTTACCCTTGATGTGAGCCGTTGCTCTCCACTCGTCACACTGTCCTCGTCCTCCTGCTGTGTCGGCAACGCGCGTTCATGTGTTTTGGGGGCGTGGCTTTGGAAGGAGCCCAGAAGGGACGGCGTGGTAGTTTCTCTGTTGGATACTTTCAAAATCCATTAGTTTCTGGCTTGTTTCTCAAACTTACCTACCCTGCCTTTAACTAAACTGATCACTACTGAATATTTGTATAATTATTAAAACCCATACCCAGGGGTCCAGAGACCCTGGGTGAACTGAATTTCCGTTGGTGCCCTTTTTGACGTTTATGAATAAATATTCTCTGAATATTAATAGTCATAATTTGTATTACAAACGTAGGTATGCTACAATAGTCACAGGATAATCAACATCCTGTGTTATCCTGTTTGCTGTGTGTGTGCACTCAGTCTTAACTGGACAAATAAAGGTAAACAAAAATGCTTCACCTGAAACACTGCCAGCAGAGATCAAAATCAACTAATGAAGGTTTAGCCCTACTTTGCATTGGATAAGAACAAACAATCGCACATAAAGTCCTTAACAAAATTAAACCTCAATAGTTCCTACATGTACAGGTCAGGAGCTCCAAATACTCAGCAGTTAATTAGATTAAGACGCAGTTGTCACGGAAGGACGACACCAAATCAGCCAGTCCCACACAGGACAGGGTGGGGTTAAGTCTGAGTGTAAATATATTACACAACTTTAGAAAGATTGTCATTTGAGACAAGAAAGAACTACACAGTAACTTTTTATTCTTTATTCTGTTTTATTCTGTTGTATTCTTTTAAACTATTAGTAAGTAATTTCAAGAAAGTGACTAAATCTCAAATAAGTTGGAGTGATATTTGACCCTAAACAGAGAGCACATGGTGACAGAAAATCACTCTGGAGGCCCAGTCTGGATACAATACTACAATGCAAACAGCACAAAAACATTCGTAACGCAGCGAACAACAGCAATCTCACCTCAAGGTCCACTTAGTAGCTGTTGTAAAATATATCTCATGTGAGTGTGTGATATCATATGATGTTCAGCAAGGTGAAATACACAGCTCAAAAAAATAACGGGAACACTTACATTGTGTTGTTTAACTCCAAGTCAATCACACTCCTGTGAAATCAAACTGTCCACTTAGGAAGCAACAGTGATTGAAATCAATTTCACATGCTGTTGTGCAAATGGAATAGACAACAGGTGGAAATTATAGGCAATTAGCAAGACACCCCAATAAAGGAGTGGTTCTGCAGGTGGTGACCACAGACCACTTCTCAGTTCCTATGCTTCCTGGCTGATGTTTTGGTCACTTTTGAATGCTGGCGGTGCTTTGACTCTAGTGGTAGCATGAGACGGAGTCTACAACCCACACAAGTGGCTCAGGTAGTGCAGCTCATCCAGGATGGCACATCAATGCAAGCTGTGGCAAGAAGGTTTGCTGTATCTGTCAGCGTAGTGTCCAGAGCATGGAGGCGCTACCAGGAGACAGGCCAGTACATCAGGAGACGTGGAGGAGGCCGTAGGAGGGCAACAACCCAGCATCAGGACCGCTACCTCCGCCTTTGTGCAAGGAGGAGCAGGAGGAGCACTGCCAGAGCCCTGCAAAATGACCTCCAGCAAGCCACAAATGTGCATGTGTCTGCTCAAACGGTCAGAAACAGACTCCATGAGGGTGGTATGAGGGCCCGAAGTCCACAGGTGAGGGTTGTGCTTACAGCCCAACACCGTGCAGGACGTTTGGCATTTGCCAGAGAACACCAAGATTGGCAAATTCGCCACTGGCGCCCTGTGCTCTTCACAGATGAAAGCAGGTTCACACTGAGCACATGTGACAGACATGACAGAGTCTGGAGTCCCCGTGGAGAACATTCTACTGCCTGCAACATCCTCCAGCATGACCGGTTTGGCGGTGGGTCAGTAATGGTGTGGGGTGGCATTTCTTTGGGGGGCCGCACAGCCCTCCATGTGCTCGCCAGAGGTAGTCTGACTGCCATTAGGCACAGAGATGAGATCCTCAGACCCCTTGTGAGACCATATGCTGGTGCGGTTGGCCCTGGGTTCCTCATAGTGCAAGACAATGCTAGACCTCATGTGGCTGGAGTGTGTCAGCAGTTCCTGCAAGAGGAAGGCATTGATGCTACGGACTGGCCCGCCCGTTCCCCAGACCTGAATTCAATTGAGCACATCTGGGACATCATGTCTCGCTCCATCCAACGCCACGTTGCACCACAGACTGTCCAGGAGTTGGCGGATGCTTTAGTCCAGGTCTGGGAGGAGATCCCTCAGGAGACCATCCGCCACCTCATCAGGAGCATGCCCAGGCGTTGTAGGGATCATATTGTAGGTCATACAGGCACGTGGAGGCCACACACACTACTGAGCCTCATTTTGACTTGTTTTAAGATCAAAGTTGGATCGGCCAGTAGTGTGGTTTTCCACTTTGATTTTGAGTGTGACTCCAAATCCAGAAATCCATGGGTTGATAAATTTGATTTCCATTGATATTTTTTGTGTGATTTTGTTGTCAGCACATTCAACTATGTAAAGAAAGGAGTATTTAATGAGATTATTTCATTCATTCAGACTTAGGATGTGTTATTTTAGTGTTCCCTTTATTTTTGTGAGAAGTGTATATATCACTATATAAACACACAACTGGAATAGAATAAGAAGCTGTAGAGACAGTAGGAATAGTATGCTAATAATAAATACAAGGGTTGTAAATAAGTGTAGGAATTATTATAAAGCCATTTAGATTTTTTGGCTTATGATGAACAAACTATTATGAATTTATGTTAAGATTATTATGTAAAAGTTTTTATAAAACTGTTTTTCCTGCTGCCCAAAAGAAGGGGAAAAGTAGACAAGATGACTCAAGAGGACCAAAGTTAAGAAATGAAAGCCTTATATATTCGTTCAGACTGAAAATGTACTGAGTTAATGCAACTCAGTCTGCACAATTAATATGGAGCTATAATCACCATTCACTCAGCTGTTAGTATAGTTAACTATTTCCCTGTTAGTTAGAAGTCACTCTATCTCTGACATACTTATAACAGGCAACGTGATTCTAATGATCTACAGTAAAATGTCTTTATTGCTCTTCAATTATCACTTTGTTGTAAACTCAGTGCTTTTGTAAAGCTCCAGAATAGCTATTAAACAGACCTTGACACACAGTTGTTTTGTCAACTGCTGTTTTCAATATCAAGAATTGACTTTGAAACTCAATAAAATGCACGTTTTAACACAATAAACCTTTGTAACAGAAACATGTGTGCAGTATTGTTCACTTAGTCTACAGTGATTGTCAGCAAGAGAAATGATCAAAATGCTGAATTATGATTCAGTTATTTGGAATCAGAATTTCTTGTGTCAGACATACAATCCCCATGCAGACATGCAAGACTGATTACGGGATCACTCTGTGTTGTGTAAAATGTTATACTCGTCATAATCCATGCATGTGTGCAAACACAGGTCATCTTAAAGCTGGGTGATTATCCGGCAGTGCTACACAGACTGAAGGAGGAAAAGAGGGACAGGGAAGAAAGAGGCAGTTAGTGGAGGCAGAGCAGAGGGATAAATCAACAGGAATAGATAGGCTAATAGAAGTACAGGGCTGATAAAGGACAGGTAAAGGAGAAGGAGGGAGACGTATACACAGAAACAGAGAGAGGAAGACACCATATGGTCTTACAGTCAAATATAAAGGACAGAAGAAGGATTTGTCAGACTCTATCCTAAGGGAGGCAAAAATGGCCCTGATAATTTTTAACAGAAAACCATCTCAGTTTTTTATTTAACAGGACGATTCTGATTTGAAGTCACTTTTTTTTTTACCTGCTTGGGGTGCCACAGCTTAACAGTTGCACTGGAACTGCTGCGGAAAACACAGAGCCGGAGGAGGGGCACCAGGAGGAGACGGACTGCTGCCAGGTCAAGCAGGAAGCTTGAGCACAGGCTCCGCGGGGTGATGAGGACGGCCAGGCGGGCCAGCAATGTGGAGGTGCCCTCTTTCCTTCGCCAGCTTGTTAAAGAGACGGAGAAGATGGTCACCTTCTTCTTTAAAGGAGGGCCCAGGGAAACAGGGCCCGACGAGGAGGAAAATTTGGATGAGGAGGACTCCGTGCCGAGCCCATACCTTGATCGTCCCATCTTGGAGAAGCATGTGTCAGAGGGGGGTGCTCAATCGGGGTGAACTATGCTGTGGCGAGCATGCAGGGCTGGAGGGCTCAGATGGAGGACGCCCACACCTGCATGCCCCAGCTGACAGGAGAGCTGACAGAGTGGGGATACTTTGCTGTTTTTGATGGACACGCTGGCACCACAGTGGCACAGTACTGCTCCAGAAACCTGTTGAATCACATCCTGGCAACAGGTACATTACAATTACTGATGAATTAGATGAATCTAGCAATGAACATGTTTTTAGTTTGAGAGGAATGTATTTCCAATTATTTTATGATATCTAGCTCTTTGTTCATACAGAGTGTAAGTGCACTTATTGTCACTTTGGACCAGAGCATCTGCCCAATTAATGTAATGTAATGTAATATGTGAAAGTAGAACCAGGTCCTGTGATCACACTGTTTTACGCATGGACTTGATTTGGGAACACGAAGTCCATGAAAATAGCTGATTAAGAGCAGATTAATTGAAGCTAAAGCGATCCAGGATTAAGGGTGACATTACATTGGAAATTGAACATGTCACAGTGCATATACAGTGATGAGCAATGCTAAAATCACGTACATTGGCATGTGTGTCATATTCCAAACAAGGATTCTGGATCTTGAGGGATTTTTCTTTACAGCAGCGAGCAAAGAAATGAAGACGGTTCAGGAGCCGAAGAACAGGACTCGAACAAATTTTAGGGATCAAAACAAAATAGAGTTGCTGACATTCATTCAGATCATCAAGTTTTTTATTTAATGTAGAGTTGTGAGCTGATTGGTTTACCATATGAGAGAAGATTAACAATCCTCATTACATGAATGGTTGTAATCCGTCTGTAACTCTTACTGCTACCTGTTATGGCCAGGTTTCTGTTGGGAAAAATAAAGTTAAACAAATCCAGCACTAAAATCAGTTGTATTGTGTCGGCCATGTTATTGCACTGTGCAATAGTGTCACTCCAACAACAGAGATGAGGTCTTTTCTCCACAGGTTTATGCTACCCGGATCCATGTGCGTTGGCCTCTAAGCAAACCAAACATTTCCTCCCTATTTCCCACAGGTAGGATTAAAGCAAGCGAGGACCCCGAGCAGGTGAAGGAGGGGATTCGTGAAGGTTTCCTGGACATCGATTGCCACATGCACAAATTGGTTCGCCAGGACAACTGGGACCGCAGTGGCTCTACCGCAGCAGGTGTCATGATTTCACCGCGCTACATTTACTTTATCAACTGTGGGGACTCCCGCACCCTGCTCTGCCATAACGGCCAGGTGGTCTTCTATACAGAGGACCACAAGCCGTTCAACCCCAGAGAAAAGGAGCGCATCCAGAACGCTGGAGGTTCGGTGACCCTGCAGAGAGTCAACGGCTCGCTGGCAGTTTCCAGAGCACTGGGGGACTTTGACTTCAAGGAGGTGGACTGGAGGCCGCAAACAGAGCAGCTAGTGTCACCAGAGCCAGAGGTGTATGAGCTAGAGAGGACGCCTGAAGACGAGTTCCTAATTCTAGCATGCGACGGCGTGTGGGACGCCATTGGTAATGAGGAACTGTGCGCCTTTGTGCGCAGTCGTATGCAGGTGTGCGAAGACCTGAGAGAAATTTGCACTCAAGTCATTGACCTATGTCTCTATAAGGTGAGAGGTCAACATTTACACAGTAGTGTACAAACAATGTGTATGAAACAATTAGAAAAAGAAAATGAAACATTCTTACAGATATTTAAACCCTTGGTTGAATGAGAATTAATGAGAAATAACATTTCACTGGAAATGTTTAATGAAAAATTGAGGAAGAAGATTGTGATTCGCCACTGTCATCTAAGCATAAAAGCACCTAAAACAGCTTGTTATGACCAAGATGCGGTATCGGTTGTAAATTTTCAATCGTACTGCAAGATTTGATACCTGAGTTTCGGCACCATTATTCTTTGTTAATCCATTGTTTTTACAAGTATAAAAACTGAGATTCAAAGTTCATGTTTGACCTTAAAAACAACATTTGACATAACAATCTCGTGCCAATTTCCGTTTAGTAGCTGTTCTGGAAAAAGGTCAAAAGTCCCTGAGGAGGTAGGGCCTGCTTCTGTTTTGTCAACTACTGTTTTCGAGGTCAAGGAAAGCCTTTCAATCTCAATTTTTAAGCCGATATGGAGGATTAGTCCTTAAAGTGCCCAAAATCATAGGCTAAACATGTCTTTTAACAAAATCCTAAGGCATAATTTGGCCTTAATTAAAATGGTTTAAAATCAGGAACTATCTAATCAAAGAATAAAAACTTGACAGTTTTCGTAACACGGTGCTACAGACACCTTTCTGTCTGTACCACGAGCAACACCCAGCCTGCACCATGACCCAGGTGGTGGCAGGTGGAACAAAGCTACTATTTATGTCTCAAAATTCACTATGAATAATATGCTCTCTGTCAATCTGTTCAAGGAATGTTAATACTGAAACACAAGTGTTTACTAAAAGTGCAGATTGAACAAATCTCAAAATGTCATGGAAATTTTAATTAATCTACTTAATGACCAAACGCATGTGCACATGTAGTAGGATCACCATGTAGTCTTAGCTTAGCAGAACTACCCGGTTCTCCAACGTAGTGTTACAGCAGGTGTATTGATGAATGGGAAGCTTACATTAAGAAGGGGGCTCTGTGAGCAGGTGTACACTGTGGGCAGGGTTTCGATGAGGAGGAGTTACATTGATGTTGTTACGTAAGTAGACTTCCCCTGCAGGTCTTCTTAATGCTTAGTAACCTGCCGCCTGAGCCCTTAGCCCGCTCTATAAATAGCTGTATTAAGGCATCCTGGGACATGGGATAGGAGGGAAGAAATGCTACACATGGCTCGGATTATCACTGAATGTGAGTCTGTTGATGTGAGCTCAGGGTTGCCGCTCAATACGTACCGGCTCAGAGGCTTTATCCTGGCGGGATGGGTGGCTATTTATTTCACCTAAAAAGGCTTACTGTGCCTGTTGAAAGACTGCATGTTCCAGTACACACTGAGCCTCAAACCTCGCATCACTGATGTCACAATCAACAGGCTGATCGTTGCAAAACTGCAACGTCTAAACAGTATAGCCCGGCCACTATTGGAGTTTTGAGGCCGATACAGATCTCGATATTCAGGAGATTAGCCGATATTAGCTGTTTTGAACATCAACACATAACTTTACAAACAATAATGTTACAGATCATCTGTTTCTAAAGTATCTCAAAGCTAGTATGGCATTCTGTTGGTTGACATATGCACTGATACCAATCTATCTGCAATAAGTTAATATCATCCGATATATCTGCCAGGCACAGGTGCATTTTCCCAAAGCCACAGACTAAAGTAGTGAGTTTGTTCGTAAATCAGTAATGTCATAATCTTCAGTTAGTACTTAACTGTGGCATCATGATTATTTTGTTAAAGCCAAAATATAGCTCGATTCAACCTGACACAGACCTCAGTCCCCTGTTATTCTCCCTGTCAACAGGTCTATTTCAAGTGGAGGAAGAAGTACTAACTTAAGTTAAAGTACCAGTACCACTGTGTGAAAATACTCACAAGTGAAAGCACTGCATTTACATTTTTGCATTGGTATTATCAGTAAAATGTACAAAAAATCTGAACAGTTAAAGCAATTTTAAGCAGGTAGAAGGGCCCATACTATATTATCATGCATTATATTATTGGATTTTAATTACTCACTTAACATATAAGCAGCTCTTTAACGTAATGCCTGGTTGAGGTGGAGCTAATCTAAAATTATATTTTAGCCTAATTAATTATACTGTATAACAAGTCATATATCATTTATATCTATATATTTAATTAATTAATCTGCAGAGTAACTAGTATTTATCAGGAACAATGGCTGTTACCAGGTAAAAGTATAAAGTAGCATACACAAGTAAAATATAAGAAGATCAAAATGTAAACGCACTAAGTTACATACACCAGTCTACCGTTACTGCCAATTAGTGCATCTGATAATCCTGTTTCTCTGCCTTTGCAGGGAAGCTTGGACAACATCAGCATCATCATTGTCTGCTTCCCTGGCGCCCCCCAGGTGTCACAGGAGGCACTGCAGCAGGAGGCAGAGCTGGAGCGACAGATCGATATGAAAGTGGAAGGTGCTTTTTCCGCAAACCCCACACCAAACCACTCTGCAGTGTACTTTAGACCGCTGTTAGCTCCCTGATTTTTTTTCATCCCATATTGTTTTGGCTATCTCCCTTCACAGAAATTATCCAGTCGATGAGGTCCAGCGAGGAGGACCCTGACATTTTGTATGTGATCAAATTCCTGGCTGCAGAAGAGATTCCAGGGCTTCCACCAGGAGGAGGCATCACCAGCAAGTGAGTCTGAGCAATAAAAAAAAACTAATTTGGAGGAATCAAACCAGAAATCCTTTTGACATGACACCACTGTTTTCCCTTTTGCAGGCGAGACTGTATCATCTCGGCATATCAGAAACACATCATGACTCTCAGAACTCAGGAACCGATGGTAACACATGAGTCACATGACATTTGAATGTCATTAGATGAACAGTCATTTAGAACTAGTGTTGTAGTACTCGAGACTGGTCTTGGTCTTGAGACCACTTTTTGATGGTCTTGGTTTTGTCTCGGACTCGACTGCATTTGTATTCGGTCTTGTCTCTGTCTTGGACATTGAGGACTCTGCATTTTATTTCAAGACCAGTCAAGACCATAACCACCAAGACCATTTGGGAATATCAATAAATTGCTTTGCATTGATTTATTTGTTAAGATCCTAACTTTGATTGGAAGTAAAACATTTTGCTTCAAATACAACCAATAACCCTAATTAAAAATGTGTTGTTACCGTTAACGACTGTAACCGCGATGGTAAGCATGGAAAAGGATCGTTGAATAAAGATACGTTACGTTTCAGCTCTCAGTGTTTGTATGTGGGTGTTTTAAAGGGAATGTGGATCTTTCAGATCAGTTTGAGAAGTACCTATGATCTCGTTCCACATCTTATTGTGTGTCGTGTAATGTTGAGAGCTGGTCTTGGTCTTGACTTGGTCTCGGTTTGGGCAGTGACTACAGCACTATTTAGAACAATCTCCAAAATCTCACAATAATATGCCTAACTTACAGTTTTGTAGGGCAGCCAATTTTGTATTAATAATTAAGTCCAGAAAACATCAGAAAAAGGTGAACATGTTCTTGATCCCAAGGTGAAGTCATTAAATGTCTTGATTTATCCAACCAACGGTCCAAAACCCAGATGTTCAATTTACTGTAACCCAGTAATCATTCAATGCAAAAACAATTGACAGATTAGCCAATAATGAAAATAATCATTAGTTGGCCATAGGATGAAAATAAACACCAATAAAAATCTTCCACCAGCTGACATGAGAGTATGGATGCTGAAAACTATATATATATATATATATATATATTCTATATTCACGAATTTCTCTGGAAATGAACTAAACCATAAGTTGCCACCTTTGATTTTTAAAATGGCATAAAAGTACTTGCTGATGTATTTTTAAGTGCAAGCCTGGAAAACAAAGTCATGTCTACAAAGTAGATATTCAATGTTGTGTGTTTCAGGACACGAAGGATCGGAGGAGGACTCAAACTAAAGCTGTTACCATGGAAACAGGATCAGCACCAGCTTCACCCTCTCCATGGAGACCATCTTAAATGTTTTCATTTTAGACTAGCACTAAAATAACGATGATTCTTTATGTAATATATTCTCTTTGAGCATTTGCTTTACGGTCAATTAAAAGTTAAATTTAAGTCAAAATACCAATTGTGTTCTTTTTCTGTAATATTGGCACTATATTTTCTAAAATTATTTGTTATTGACAGGGAGTCTTTAAAAATAATTAACCATAAGGTGCCTGGGGAAATACTGACACATTATCTGCACATTCTGGATGCTTAAGGCAGCTAACTTTACCTTAATGTGTGGCTGACAAAACAAACTGTACGTGCGGAAAACACATGATCTGACATCCTTTCTTCTAAGGTAATAAATAACACACTCAAAACAAAAAAGCACAGCACTCAATATGTCCTCGGCACGTGGGCCACATGGGTATCAGAAAGTCTTGTGATGGAACCCAGCATCACACAGTAAAAAATTTGTTTGCACAACACTGTCAGGTTGCAAAGGATAGCAATGACTTGTTATAGCAAGAACATAACCGCAGAAAGCCAGAGGGACAGACACAAAAGGCTGAAGAACGCAAGAGAGAGCAGAAGAAAAGAGATGGGGAGAAAGAGGGAAAGAGGATGAGATGTTTCCAGGAACTATCACACATACCTCATTAAACTTGGGCCCCTTTAGCACTGTATAGAGAAAAAAATCACACGTTACTGTGTGATTTAAAAGTTGTTTTCTTGTAGGAAACTTATTTGTATAGCCTGTACAAATGTTGCTCACAGTTTGTTCCATTATTATAGATCTAAAGTTTTAGATACTATATAATGATTATAATGACGATAATTTTTTGTGGTAACCAGTGTTTTGATACATGTTTCATTTACAATATTATGTCGTTGACATAGATCCATTATCAAATAATATATGCCAAATAAGTTTCTAATATAATACTAATAATTTAATAGTATTATTTTCTTAATTATTATAATTTCAGCTATTTTTCATTCTACTGATTTCTTGTTTTCCTACGTATTTGTAAAAAGCTATCAGGACTGACTGGTGAACCTGAAGTCTGCGGAGCTTCCTCAAAAAGGAGGTGCTGACACACACAATATTTTCACTGTTTGGTTGGAAGGTAAGTTTGTGATCAATTATTGTCCCGAGGTATCTATGATTCAACCCTTTCTATTGGCTGGTTGTTGACTAACAGAGTGGGAATGATGTAAATGTTGGCTTTGAACATACAATCATACATTTCATTCAAACATTCAAACTCAAATAAAAGTGTTTAGGACATTCAGCACACAGACTATACAGGAGATAAATAAAAATTCTCTTTAAACGCGTCACTATTCCTCACTAAGCCTATCTATTGTATCAATACTACACAAATTAAAACAAGATAGTTCAAGTCAAAGTCAAAACTAACACATGAGGGACTTTAGGGGGCTTGCTTTGGCAGTCATGGGTTCTTCACAGTGTGTTGTGAGGGTGTGGTGAGGCTTAGCACCTCTGTATTAATTGAGTGAGCAGAGCTTTTAGGGGACGGAGAGTCCTTCTCACCTCCTCACTCCCGACAAGTCAGATCACTCAAATATTCAACTCAGGAAGGCACTGCTCAGCTGAGAACACTTGCAGACAAAGTTAAAGAAGAAAAAGAAGAAGAGGGCCCGAGGGGAAAGGCAAAGAAACCTCAGTCAGACAGAAAAATGTGAGTAATGTCTGTGACCGTGTTCGTGTGGTATTTAGATGAGCAACCTGGGGACAAAGTGGTTAGTGTGCACGGCAGGATGGCTCTGGGTTTGAACCTGGCTAGTCAGGCTGGAGCCTTCCTGTGTTGAGTTTGCCTGTGTTTCTTCCTGGTGATCCGGACAAACTGAGCAGCTGTTTAAAGCCTAATGGCCACCAGGTAAAGCTTGTATCGGTTAAATGTCTACGTATCAAAGGAACTAACAACCATGCCAAGGCATTTTTTCATTATTATCTAAAGAGGTATCAGGTGTTTATTGAGCTTAATGGAATTTAAATGACTTTAATTTAACTTAATCTGTCCATAAAAAAGATAACATATGATGAGAGTAATCAAGTATGGAACAAGGAAGATGTGATGAAAGGGATGTCAGACTGATATAATAATAGCAGTCAAAATAAACAATACAAGAAATATGAAAATAGCTAGATATGCAATGAATTAATCATCCATAAAATTATTTATGAAGAACAAAAAATGAATATAAATAAATAAATGCAGAAATAAATAATTGAAAATAAACACATTTTTGTAATGAAAAGGGTTATTTCTATATTTTTAAGTTTTTTTATTTATTTATGCATTTCTACATTATTGTAGAAATATTGTATTTATTTATTTAAACGTATGTAATTTCTTTGCCCTTTATAGATATTCATCTATATAAGTAAAGTACAGTACACAAAATTAAATTCCAATTCTGTTTTTTGTAAAGTATAGGTTTAATTTAAATATCTGCCTCTATTATAATGTGTGCGTGTCTGCTTTGGGACACAAAAATGCTTGGGCTAGCTATCGGAGTGCTTAAAATGTTTTATACGTGAGCAGGAGTTCCTGTTATCCCTGTGAGAGACTTTTAAAATGCATACTGGCAAATGGTGATAAAGGATTATGCTAAGATGAGACTGAGTTAGACAAAATCAAGTGGGTATCTTCCAAAGTTTCATTGAGATTGGGCAGCCACTTACGAACAGGGGGAACCATTACAGTGACCATAACCATTTCAATGCACATAGCACATTGTGACTGTGAACAGACCCTTTACTGCGGTCTAGAGTGCATATTCTTGACTTTATGTAAGTTTCAGATAATACACAAGGCCACACATATCTTGTCTTATCCACCTTGTAGCCTACAGTATGCTGTTCTGAGACAAAATTATGAAAAACAGGACCTTATTGGCCAACAAGAAAGGCCTGTGATCACTTTTTGGCTTTAGGTCACCTGACCTGGAGCGTGTCAAAGCAGTTAATTTATTTAATTGAAACACCTGTGTAAAAGAGGTAATGCCAGGGGGGAATGGCTGGAGGTCATTGCATAGCTGCACCCTGAGTGTTTACACACGTTGATTCCTGCAGCACCTGTGTCAGGCTACCAACTGTTGTCCCTCAGTGGTTCACATGGATACTAATAAAGAGGCCGTCGAAGAGACAGACAACACGGTATGGAAACAGGTTAAACGAACAGGTCCAAACAAAACTTCAGCCTGCAACAGTTGGCCACCTCCTGCCTGCTACAATTTGAGTGTCATGTTCATCCAAACTGAAATCAAACCCCTTCATCTAACACTATAGTATGTCACCTACCTGCAGCCGGGCAGGATGCCTCTTAACGCAGGAGACAACAGTTACGGCAGCGCGCCAGGTCCCGGGCTGTCCGGCAGTGTGGGCGTCTCGGAATCCGTCCCTCTGCTCGTCCCGGAGCCGGTCCGGCAGTGGCAGCCCATGACCAAGGAGGAGCTGGAGCTCACCGCGGGGGGTCCGGGGTGGAGGAAGGTGCGCCGTTACCTGGTGCTGCTGTTCTGGCTGTCATGGGTGGCCATGCTAGCCACCTCCATCGCCATCGTAGTGGTGAGCCCCCGGCCGGTTGTTACACCGCTCACGTGGTGGCAGAAGTCGCTGTTCTACCAGCTGCAGCTAGACCTGTACATGGAGGAACACACCGAGGGGTCAGGGAACATGAATGGTAAGGACATAACCTGTATCACTTAAAAAAAAAAAAAAAAAAGTTTGTTTGGTTTAGCCCCCAAAACAATGTGCATTGTCCCAGTTAAGGTCCCTGTGCAACTAGATTTCTTGATTTGTCAGTTTGACTACCTGCCTCCTGGTGGTCACTTGATAGTATAACAGTGTCTCCAGGCAGATCGAGACAGTCTTGGATCACAAATTTATGCAGTAGATCTTTATAGGCTGTCCCTGTCACAGGTTTGTTTGTAGTTCACTTTTAACATGTTTGCAATTCAACACAAAAGGTTCATGGTGCAAGAACATGACATGCTATAATTAAATTTATAATGACATGTTTTGTCACAGGCTGGATTTACCTGCTTGGGGAGGCCATAAGGCAAAAAATATGAGCTGCTGGGCCCTAACCTGCAGTCCCTCCCACCCTTTTCCAGTGTATTATATGCTAGAATACCATCTAGTCCCAGATTTGCTGCTAATGAAGATTTTAAACGTCTTGACACAGGGGCTTGCTTAAGGACGGGCCTTCAGACTTGCTTTAGAGCTCTGTATTCCCAAATACATTTAAAATAAATTGGGACAACCCAGTTGACATAGCATTAGCTTTGAGCTAATGCCAACGTTTGTCATTCTTGGCATGAAAGAGTTTCACATGGCTCTTTCTTCAGGGCAGAAAACTTTTTTGCCTCATCAGGACCGTGTGTAGGCAACACAGCGATAATGTTGTGGGCTGAATACTGTGGACACTAAACATGGATGGTAACCTAAAAGTGTGAGACTAAAATTGGCACAAAAAGCTTGTAAAAATTAAGTTAAACAGAATGATGTTTTTAAAATCTTAATAACTCAGTTTAATGTTTGTCCTCTCAAGCGCTGTGTGAGCAGCTTCCCTTCCTCAGGTCCCTGGGTATAGGGGCCCTAATCCTGGAGGGTCTGTTTAATAAGGAGGCGTCTCCTTTAAACTTCATTTCAACTGGTAAAAAGTTTGCGACGTTGCCTCAGATCCTGCATCTGCTCGCAGAGAGCAACAAAGCAGGTGGGTTAAGGACTAATTTTTGTCAAAAAGCCTGCACACTAAGGTAGACTTAACACCTGCATGATTTGATGTTACGAGTTGTATTGGTCCTGCAGGCCTCAAAGTGGTGGTTGACTTCTGTAAACTGGATCTGCTGAGACTTCAGGATGTAGCAGGAAACGCAGACAAGCCATCAAACCACTCGGTATATTTAAAACCTACACTCTCGTCATGCTACTTATCATGTTCTCAGTGATGCTAGATTTCCTAAAACATGACAATACTGTTTCTGCAGCATGCACTCTGGTTCTGGTTGGAGCAGGGTGTAGCAGGTTTTGCAATCTGTGACACAGATGCAGCGTATTCAGAAAAGGTAAAACGGTGCTCCGAAAATGTTTTTTTTTTTTTTTTATTAACAATTTCCACAAACTTCACTAAAATATTTACATTTCAGACTCTGCTGGAGTGGAGAGGCATCTTGAAGGAATTCAGCAGTCAGGAAGAGGAAAGGTATCGTTACACGTGCAGATGTGGGTCTGTTTCAATATAAAATGAAGCTGCAAAGTAATTAAAGTGTGTCTGTGGTCTCCTCAGGATTGTGGTGGTTAAACAGATGAGAGACAGTCTGCCTCCTCTAAACAACGGTACACTGGTGGATGTGGTCATGAAATCAATTCTGCCGTCTTCGCGTCATGTCCTGTCTGCCAAGGAAGTCGCTGCTGCTATAGAGACACACCTGCAAGCAAGAGAAGAAGTTATATGGCCCAGCTGGACAGTAAGACATGCATATGTCTGTGAACATAATTCAATATACAAGAAAGTTCTACTATATTTTGGTGGCAAACTAGTCTGAATAACAATTAAGCTTTAAACAAGCTACAATTGAGCAATGTTTTTGTCCAATTATTTTATTATAAATGTTGAAAGCGTAAACAATACTAAATACTGATTGGATGTGATGGTGTAATTTTACTTTCCCTCTGCATTTCCCTCCCTACATTCCTGAAATTTTGCACCCGTTCTTATGATTGGGAGATAACTGGAAGATTTATTTTCTTGATTAATCATTCCATCTCAAACATCAGGGAAAGTGAGAAATGCGCATCATAATTTAGTACAGCCCATTGTGACTTTTGTCCAATTTACAAGCTTAAAGAAAGAACATATTACAATGAGATAAACTCACATTGGAGAAACTAGAACCAGCAAATAGTTGGCCTTTTTGCTTGAAAAGTTACTGAAACAATTAATCTATTATGCGTTTCTGCAGGTTGAAGGTAAAGCATCTCATGACTTGAAGAAATTACTCCTGGTGTTGACGATGACACTGCCAGGATCACCTGCCATCCAGTATGACGAGATCAGCCAAACACAGGTGAAGTCCTGCTTGAGAATTTGTAGTCCATTAATTATCCATTTTAAAAAGTTCATATTATAAATAAAACCGTTCTGCCATACAGAATGTGTCTCTGAAAGCAGGCGCATCACATGGAGAGATGACGGAACCAACAGACACCGATTTAGTGAGTAATCTGAATGAGTCCTATCAGTTCAGGTCATGTAAAGCTGTATTTATAGACACAAAGCAGCTGTTGGGTAGGTTGTATGTAAAAATCTGCCACTGATCTCTACCATCCTTGCATCAGGATAAGGAGAAGATGAAGCATTCAGCTGTTGCCCTCTTTACCTCCCTCAGTCGCTCCAGAGCCAGAGAAGAAGCTCTTCTGTATGGGACTCTTACTTTCCTCCCCTTTAATTTCTCCACCAGCCCCTCCAACTCTACTCTTGCCTCTCCTTCTCCTGCTCCGATCCTGGCTTTCTTGCGTTCTTGGGGTTGCGTCCACTTCCTCATTCTGCTAAATGTTGGGCCTGAGCTCCATGCCCTGGCTCCGGCCTGGGCCCCGAGCCTGCCTGAAGCCGGAGTGTTTGTGACCAGCACAGGAATGGACCGTTTGGGGTCGATGACTCTGAAAAAGCTGGAACTGCAGCCCCACGAAGCCATCGTCATCAAACTGTTTGAGGCAGGAAGTTACTCCTAGAGCTTCTCTGTTAATTAGATGTGTGGACATTGAGCTACTGGGATTTGAGTTTTCCTCTCACAGGGTGATAAATGTTGGACACAATTGTGTTTGACTGATATGTGCTCAGAGGTCAAAGAAAATAAAATACTGGTTCTGTGTGGCATCATTTGTGGTCAGGATATTGCTCTCTGGAGTCTGTCTATTCATCGCTGAATACACAGAGCATGTCGTATTTATGGTAACATAACTTTAGTTATATATCATAGTGACAAGCCTCCCAGCTTACCAGTTGAACGTGCTAATTCTGGCTTTAAGCTGCGAGCATCTGTAGGCCATCTATGTTTTTATATTGTTTTTAAAGAAAATATATTTTCACGGATTTAGTCCATACATAGACTTTCAATGAAAAGGGGAAAAAAATTAGCTGGGTTCCCTTACAGATTTGCAGTTCGTCCCACTTATAGCTGAGTTTGTGCTGAAAAAAACAGTACCATTTATGTTGGGCAAGGACAACTTAAAAGGTGTTTAACAAAAACTGAAATAAACACGTTGATAGTCTGTACTCGAGAGGTTATTTCTCCATGATGTAAAAGCAGACATAGAAACTCTTTTTTTTTTTTTTTTTTTTTTTTCCCACATCAAAGAAAGTATTTGAAATTCCATGCTTCATTTCTGAGAAGTAATTCTTCTGAACATGTGGCCCATGTTATCAATTTGTATGAGCTGCTGATAAAACAAACCATATGAGCCACATCCTAACTACTCTTGTATGTGAATTCTTATTCTCCCACACCCTGCGGTTTATCTTTCGTTGAGCAACTCAAGTTTGGGAATTGATTCAGAGCATATTAACTTCCTTGCCAGCCTGCTGTCACTGAAGAGTGGTTGCCTGAGGAGAAACTATTCCTTTAGTGTACACTTCCAAAACTGGATGTCAGTCATAGTTCTTCATACCACATGGTGGTGCTGCAGTAACAATTGCTGCTCCATTAACGTTTTATATAAGACTTTGATGTCAATATATAGAAACAAGTTTCTAAAGATTGAAAACCAATATTAATACATAAAAATTAAACTGTTTACATAGTAAGCTGTCATCAATCAGCTATCAAATTCAATATTGTTAATGTTGCATGTCATTTTTATTTGCATGAGCCCTCGTCATTTCCCACATAAACCAGCACTTTCAAATGTAAATATTTATCTGTCATTTTCAACACTTCAACGCTTGCTATTACTCTGAATCACACATCTGACTATTTGTAAACATGTCAAATTTTCGAAATTTACACTTTATAGGAGAACCCCTAAGAAATTATGCTGACATAATTTCTGACTTAAGTTTTGCAGTTGTTGTTTATTGGTGTGTAGGCAACACAGGATTAATGTGGGCTAACACATGTTTGCAGCTTACTTACAAAAGAGATTAAGAGGCCGGTGGTATTGTATTTAATTTGAAATGTTAGATAAACTTCAAACTAATGCAGGGAAATTGAGCAACTACTGTAAACAAGACACAAGAAAACTGTGTGCATATGCACACTACATGTATTATGAGCATCTGTTACAACATGAAGAATGAAAAATTAACATTGAAATAACTAAATACTGTGGACACTAAACATAGATGGTGACTAAAAAGTGTACTGACACAAAAAGGGCACAAATAACGTGGAAAGAATGAAGTTTAAAAGAATGATGTTGATTTCAAATCTTGCTAACTCAGTTTAATGTTTATTCTCTCAAGCACCATGGGGCCCAATCCTGGATGGTCGGTTTGATAAGGAGGCGTCTCTTTTAAACTTCACTGCAACAGATTTTGCAAAGTTTGCGACATTGCCTCAGATCCTGCATGCGCTCGCAGAGAGCAACAAGGCAGGTGGGTAAAGGACTTCTTTTTGTCAAAGAGCCTGCATACTTTACGTAGACGCAAGACTTTAGGACTGTATTGGGCCTCGGGCTGCTTTTCTCAGACTGCATCATGACTTGTGATTACTAAAGGGCTAATTCATTCATAACATAACACAAAGGTATTTTGCCTACAGAAACAAAATCTTTTAGGCATAGCCCTCGAAAATGTCATGCCAAATTTCCTCCATAATGGTGAACATATGAATAAGAACACAGAGTTTAACAGGGATCGGAAGTTTGCTGTTGTATGTCTAAAAATTCAATCACATTTATGGGGAAAATGTAATTTCCATAGTAACTCACAAACAAACAATTACACACTGTACCATCTGAATTTTACATCAGTCGGAAACTTGATATACTGGAACATAAAAGGATTTCAGATGTCATATCACTTAAAGACATTAAATTTTTTCCCTACCTGTTTTCTTAAAAGTAGCTTTCCACCTTTCCGTATGGCAACTGTTTTAACATAGCACTGAAAGTAAAATAAATGTCACGCTGAAGTCAGGGTTGATGTTACAGTTTAACAAGACAAAAACAAATGATCATGTAAACTTAAACATCTTCTGTTTATCTTGGCACTGCTTCCATTTCATTTACTGTAAACGCACAGCAAATGTGTTCAGGTCTCATGACAGTCAGGAACTACACATGAACTGAGATAGAGAGCAGTATGTTTTTTAATATGTAGGAGTGTTGAACATCACATATAACAGCATAAACAGTGACATAGACATTGTGAGACAGTTTTTCTTTATTAATACTTTATTTCACATGAACAAAATGTGTACTGTATAAAGAATACAATTTTTTTTTTTCTAAAAATGTATTCTTTCATTAATTTTAATGGCTGTACTACTCAAATCCTCATACCCTTAAAGACCAATTGTACAAGTGGTGATGTGTCTGACTTACCTCGGGTCATGCATGATTGAGCATTTAAGGACTATAAAGTGTAAAGTGAATGTGCAATGCAGCCGAAAAACAAACATAAACAAATTCAAATCACTATCTGTGTTATCCATATATCTCATATATGCTGCACTCCACTGTATAAACCAAAGCATTGCAAGGAGATACAGCATTATAGAACAGTGAAAAGGCATAAATGTGCTACATTAAATGCAGTTACATCATTAAAGTCACAACAACAACAAAGGACTAATCCTCCCAGTGCATTTTGCAGCAGCAGAGTTTTTCAAATGTGAGAGACTCTTCACAGATAATCATCATAAGTAGCTTAGAAATCAGTGAAAATGAGAAGGAAGGGTGGAATCAAATGTTCAGGCAATACAGTGACATAATTGTCTGGATAAGAAGTTTTTGACTGACTACAGCAGCCAAACAGATGAGATTCTGATATGGTGCATATTCTTGGTACACATACTGTATATTATTTGTTTCATAGTACTAGTGGTCTGCGCTCCACTGCAGGCGGAACAATGCTGCAATATGAGATTATAAGATGTGTGTTTTAGAAAACAGGTGTCGCTCTAGAGATGGCAGTGTCGGTCTGTCTTTCCACCACTTTGGTCCTGAGTGAAATATCTCAACAACTATTGGATGGATGGCCATAAAGTTCTGTGCAGGCGTTCATGTTCCCGAAAAGATGCCTACTGATCCCCTGACTTTTTGTCGATTGCCACCACGAGGTTCACATTCTTAGTTCTGAGTAAAATGTCTCAACAACTATTGGATGGATTGCCGTATCTTATCTATTGTTTGGTGCCAGAATGGATAAGTTGCGATAACTTTGGTGATCAAATAATTTTTTAATAAACTTCTCCTCAGTTGAATAAAATACATGTCTCTCTCTTGGATCACTCTGACCGGTAACTGATGACTGCTACATCATAATTCTGGTCAGGGGAAATTTATGAACATGTCATCGCCCCCAGTGATGAAAGCGAGGGAAATAAACTATGATTTTCATGTTGAGAGTGACCTGCATCTCATGTCTTAGAAATTGTAGATGAGGACAATCCATTAACCGACGGTTATCTGCTGTGTCTTAAAGAAAAGGCTAAGATAAAAAAGAAGACAGTATACATTCATGCATGTTGATTACCCGAGTGCATATTTCTTATTTTACAGTATATTATTCATAGGCATGATATGGTTTGATGTGTTCCTTAGTGCTAAGTTACAATGCTGTTTGTTTTATGGCACATCTCTCCTTGCAACAGTTTCCATCAGTCAATGATAGTTCAAGACCCAGTGCAATAATTTTTTAGTTAGTTCATAGAGAAAGAAAGAAGATTTCCATTGTGACACATTATTCTTTGCCAAAGTCTGTGTGCCTTATAAGGTAAAGGAGTGGAAGAATCCTTTATGCAAATGTAAAAGTTCATTCCAATTTTTATTAGAGTTGAAAGTTTCCCAGCCTCCAGACACCCTGCACAGCTGAGGGTTTTTGTTAGGTCACGGAGGTAAATTTGGGTACATGTTGGCCTGTGGAACTGTCACATCTGGGGGGTTGCACTGTATGTGATTGTCAAGGGGTAAAGACAGCGCACAGTGTGCTGTTGACTTCATGGCTCCTCTGCTGAAGCGGCAGCTCAGCAGAGAGCAAAGGTGGCGAAACACAGACTTGCGGCAGATGATGAAGACCCAGGGATCCACAATGGGGTTGAGGGCGTAGAAGCGGAAGGCTGTCAGGTTCTCTGTGTCGCCACAAAATGGGTGAATGGCGTTGATAAAGCCTGCAATCTGAAGAAAGAGATGTTCGAGGTTAGACAAAGTTTTACTATTCCTAGGTTACAAATGTAAGGCCTAGAAAATGGTGTGTCCTCAGTTTAGGTGTCAGGATGCAGAGTACTGCTGCTTTTCTGTCTCAGATTTTAACCTTTATTATCCATAGCGGCTTTGGTAACATAAATGACCTGCTTCACACTCACTCCCTGCAAGCTACTCAGCATGTAGTTTTATCTGTAGCCAACTCATCAGCTTGGTCTCAACATCATTGCTCTCTCCTCACTATATTGATAAACAGTCGTAATCAATATTTCCAAAAGGTAGCTTGTTCACTGGACAGAATTTTTGTTAACCTGTCAACCCAAGATTAAACATTTTGTCTGCTGGATGGAGCCAAATCAAACCAGATCAAAGCCTCTGTAACAGTGTTACATGACGGAGGTGTCGGCACTTTGGTGTTAAAAGCAGATGAGAACACATGACCGGGTGTTTAGTATCAGTGTCAGTTAAAACTGTGGTTATGTTAGGCTTTACCAAATGTCAACATCTCACTCTTTA